GTCGTCAAATTTTTGTTACTCAAAGGTTACAGCGCTTCGAAAATTTATTGAAGATTGGTGGAAACAAGGAGGTAGTACATGATTGGCGCAAACGTTTAAAGGACGGAGACTCGAATGTTGAGACCCAGCAAGGAGGTGACTGCATTGCCGTAATCGGATATATAATATAATACGCAATACTAAAAGGGGACTTGAAGTATTCTATCGGATAAAACTGGCATTTCACGTATAATACGTTACAGGATTATAACCAAAATACGGACAATGCGGAAACTGTGTAAAAATGGATCCCCATGAATTCGCTTCAGACCCGGTAAAAATGCACGTGGTGTCTTCCGGGTACCATTTAAGGATTTTTAATCAACAAAAAAATCGCACGCAGCAGACGATCGCCATAGACAAGGTATGGTTCAATTGCTACCGCCAGCCAGAGGGAGACTATAGCGATATCCTGAGGAGAAACTGAATTCAATGGTAGTGTTGATCAGATTCAGGCGTAAGGTCATGGTAATACTTGCAATGAACGTCAAGAGTATCTGATAGTATCAAATACTAGAACAATGAACGCAGCCTGCTGTTTCGGGCTTCTCAGAAAGACTCATGGACCTCTCATACGGCAGTCCAGAGCATGTGGTCTAATAGCTTGACGACAAATCTCATCGCCATACTTCATCTACTTCCTGTATTGAGTGAAATATCAGCCAACGTTAGCTTCAACCCGCATACTGTCCCGATATAAACCCGGGTTTCGATGACTTTGAAAGAACAACAGGTGCACTATCATATCGCACTATCGAGAAGCCATATAGAAAGGGAAATCATGTGTGGAAACACGAACTGCAGCTACATGGCTTTCCAGAACATAATAAACCACAACGCTTCGAGTTTATATTTAAAAAATCATCATTCTAGCCTAAATAGTTGGAAAGTAAGTTCAAGCTAATAGCCTGACACATTTATTCTGGCCTTGCTAGGCCAAACTCGTTCACCTAAGGCCGCACTTTTAATCCGACTATGCTTTTCGCCTCCGTGTAGTGCATTGTTCCCCTTAAATGCAAAGTGTTCGTTCAACAAGATTATTTTAATGCATAGAAAATGGACGTGCAAACAGGCTCTACGATACAGACACTCTTCATTCAGATCTCAGGGGCAACATAGAACAGGAAGTAGATCCCATTGTGTTACTAACTTAACGAAAAACCCTTCCTTTACAACTATACGTACAGTACGTTGTTGACATGCCATAGGGGGTCCATACGAAGGTGGATATGAGCGAAGTACGCTAATATGCAATATGATGTAGTAATTTGTTTAGAAGTAACATTCCGAAGTTACCAACTATGTTGCATACCACTTGAATGAATGTAACAGATTGTCACTCGATTGTCTATATTTTGGCATGTTTGCGTGTTTACAAGAGTATATTATTATTAGACGTGTGCCAATAGACGAGGGCCTTTATACCTAAGCACCACGTAAATTAGCATGAAATCACTGAAGCTTATGAGTAAATATCAGCTTAATGATAATTACCTGACATGTACTGTGTTATCGTCTAGGTCTGCTTCCATTACGTACCATGGTGGCCCGTGAACTGAACGCAAATAATAATAATAAGATACGGCTTGTTATTTTCTCTCAGCATCTCGCCCCACACCTATACCATTATAAAAAAAAAACTCCTACGCGCAAATTTTTTATGGACAACAAAAAGTAGTGTCCCTACGACAATATGAAGTGGAAAAAAGAGATGAAAATTTAAGCAGATACGCCTATACCTAATGTTGAATTCAATCCTTCTCCACAAAATACCATGGTTGATGTCTTGTAGGACTGGAAGGGTTTGATACAGTGGGAAATGCTTGTAAAAAAAACCGGCCGGCAAGGATCTGTATTTGGCCTAAGTTCACAGAAAGATTTGGTAGAAAAATGCCAGACACGCATGGCAAAAATCGTAAAAGTTCCACCTGCCCGAAGAGCTTGGACAGTGAGTTTTTTTTTTTTTTTTTTCTTTTTTTTACGTTCTTCAGACTTCGCGCCGACGAATTACCGTTCTCTGCCAAATTAAGTAGACATAAATACAGTTGACAACAGAAGGGGGTCTTAAAAGCTGGCAGGATGAATTTTACAATAACAGACTTGAAAATGTCTGGCGAAGCGGAATAAATAAGTTGACTAGGAGAATGAAGGAAGATCGAAAGGAGCAACAGCGGAATCATTACGAATTATTGCTAGAATACGAATAAAATGCCACATTTTTTTGTTTAGCGAAAAACCGTAATTGTATATATATATACGTATACAATATGTGTACAATATGGTGCGCTCAAACAGGAAAAATTTTGGCGGGCTGTTTTTCGTAACCGACATGCGTTCGTTCGTTCGCTGCTTCTGATAACAGATGAAACGAGTTTTTTTCTATAAAAAAACGACAGCTTCGGCATGGCGGACAAGAGTACGTTGTTTTTGGGATTTGAACGAAGGTCAACTATTATCTAATCCTTAAGCGCTGCGCGAACCCCACGAAGATGAAACGATTTTTTTGTCCGAAACCAACTGTCTACATCCTCAAAGTTCAAACGGGTTCTCAAAATCTGAGAGGAAGTTTTATGAGGCAAACTAATAGAGCCTCAATAGGATTTAGATTTAAAGAGCGCGAAAACCTATCCAAATAGTTCAAAAACATTTTTGACCATCTAAGTTTTTTTTATCTAGAAGTAAACGGTTGTCGTTAGAAAAGTGGAAGACTTATGTGGACTTAAATAAGAATTCGAATTACACGGTATTTATAAGAAAAAAAATAGCAGAATATATTGGGCATCCACCGGTTGGTTTTTCTCTAAAACGCTTATGGTTGGTTTGAACTTTTCAGCCATTTTGAGCCTCTATATTTTCCAGAATTTTGGCCCGCTATCAGTCCAGATTTAGATTTTGTTGTATTCTTTGTGTGTAATGTATTTGAGCGACCACGTAACGAATTCACGCCTACTAATAGCATTGTTACTATTGTTGATTGAAGAAGGGTGTTTTCGAAATGGCTAATTAGTAGTTTAGGCCCCGAACCAAGGCTGTATGTTAAAAATGATTATTAGGAACGACACTTCTGGCGCATATAAGAGTGTTCGTTGGTATATTCGTTGTTTTTTTTATGTTTGAGTCCAACGTTAAACAGAAGGTAGAAGAAGTTTATACACACTTCATGTACGTTATTTATACATATATACAGTTTAATCAGACTATTATTTTGTGGCAATAAGTGGTGGCAATTACTTGAATTTACTACAAGGATCTGTTTTATCATGCACTGAGGAGAACATCAGCGAAGAGAGCAAATTTTATTTTTTACCTAAACATTATAATCATTATCTAAGAGAACGTCCTAATAACAATCTTCCATACAGATAAATTGAATGAAATGGTTCTATAGAACACCCTGCTCGTTCGCTAAACCTGACGTTGATAAACTTTTACCTTTAGAACATAATTTTTGTCGAAAAAACCGATTTCTATAGAAGGTTTGAAAGTTCATTAAAGTCTGTGAATCAACAGTATACCGTAACGAGCGATGTCTTGATCATAATGACAATAGTTTAAATACTACGGCGAAAATTATACATTTTAGGTAAAGTCTTTTACAATTTAAATACTAACTATACGTGACTAAAAACCTAAGCTATGATTGTTCAACACCTTGGATATATGCTTTCGATTTCAAACTTATATATAGATGATGGCGCCTAAATAGGTTCACAGCGGGAGACGACACGGGTCTAAACACTTACCACTGAAGAAACAGATGACTGCAATTTTTTCCTATAACATAGCAGCAGCCTCTTGGTGTGAATTCGTGCCATACTGTGCTGCAAATATACTTTTTACCTAAATTGTAAATATATCCTATCTTTTATCGATTGAATGTCTAAAGCTGTACGCCCGTAAACCTGTTTAAGCTGAAAGAGCAAAGACAACAAGTCTGAGCTGCAACAACTAACTTCAATTATAATTGCCTTTTTGTTAAGTGACCACAGCGGATTTACGGTCCAAATTTGACTTATTAACTTAGCATATTATCATGGATACGATTGTGGAAAAAAAGAGCAACTTTGAGTAACATGGCCTACAATGTATATATTTTAGTTTTCGTTATATACCCAACACATACATATAATAGAACACATGGTACCTTACAGTAGATTAGCTAGTAAATTAGCTGATTTCACTAGACGCTGCTAAAGGAAATGAGTAACTTGCTAAAGAAAAATCTTACGTTCATTTTGAACACTGCCTCTATCCAACAGTGCTCGAACACAGTATTTTAATGAAGATAAAGGATAAGCTAGCTATCTAAGTTGGTTGCCGGGAAACTAGTAAGAGTAACGATATATGGATAGCTCAATTTGCATCATAGGCGGCAATGTCACTCGTCCATCATTATATCTTCCTTTCAATAAAGAATCCACTAACTTTGAATAGTTAATGTGTTGTCTTTGATTGGGGTGTCACGTAAAGCTTATAGAAAAGAGCATACATTGGGGTAATGCAAATATACTTTTTACCTATATTATATATGATATTGATGATGACGGCTGGCTTTTCACAGCGCTATGTAAGCCGTAACAACAACTAAATCTATTTGCTTATCGGTATAAATCGGTATATAACTGAATAAAGAAAATTATATACAACATTTTAAATAAGCCAAATGTAAATAATACCATTACTTAAACAAATATCATAGGACATTTATTCAGGAGCCAATCCTGTAATTACACCGTCATTAAAAAGCAAGGCATTATGACAGTGGTTTATAATGCTTTTCGTTAAAAAAGCTCACAGCATTGTTTATAACTGAGGTGATATCGTCTCCCTTTTATTACTACGTACTATTTTCAATATGTAGGCTTAAACGATTATGGTCACACATGCAAATTATTAAACTATCTACAAAATTGTCATGTTTATATCATAACACAACAATCTAAGCATGAAATTCCCCTAAATCAACGAAGCCATTCTTTATCTTGCACGATTTCCATCGGCAGTTTTAAAAATTTACAGGCTTTTCTCTATAAAGCCTTATCTGCGACCGTTAATCAGAATCTGATGGTTACAGGCAACTTGATAATGGCTATACCGCGAAAAAGTTCGTATATAATGTAGAATGTTTGATTGGTTGCTTTGGACCGCCTGTATAGTCAAACTGTGCTTTTCACGCAGGCTTAATTTTTCGAGAAAATAGCAGATTGATGCTTCGCATATAAGAGGCAGTTATACAAACACAGATACACATATTCACACAAGTGGGCCACAAATCAGCTGATCTTATTTTCCGTTTTTAGCCCAAGATAGGGTCCAAGCAGGACTTGGCTTGCGGCAGGCGTAGTTAAAGGTACCCTAGGCAGGAACAACCGCAACGCAAATGCCCACGGTGCTATAAGATGGCCAAAAAAGTGAAGTTCTCGCCAAATGTAAAACGCTTTGTCCAACTGCAACAGTATGAACGGCATGATAGAGTATGAGAGAAATACCGCTGTTACAATATACGTGACTACGTCATAGACTGGCTTGGATAGCAGTCTTCCAGACAAAAGCCGTGGTCGAAGATAATTACGCACCTCGCGTGCGGCAACCACAAAGAACATTGCCGTCATAAATGAAAGAAAGTAGCCAGGGTATAGGCCGTGCCAGAGAGCCGAAAGGAAAAACGTCCTGATCGTTTTGTATTTCAGCTGACGGTCGTAGCACACATGTTTAAGCCAGCGCTGTGTAGACACGTTCCAATTGTCGATGAGATTTTTCATGCTTGTCGCTGTTTCAACCTGGGTGATATTGATGTTATCGGCTCCGTCCCACCGCTCCTCACCGTTTTTGGTAATATAATAACCGTAGGCTGAAGCATCGCACGACGCCTCGGCAAGCTTCCATGCCACGTAATATTGCAGACGACACAGAAAGCTAAAGGCTACAATACACAGAATTTTCCGGTAAAACGGCAAACTGGAAAACCACTCGGAGAGTATGTCATTTTCTTTGATCAGCGGTACAACAAAAAGTATTAGAAGAATGTTGAATCCAACGCAAAACAGTTTACAAACCACTCGCCAATGAGTGACTGCTGTCGATCCATCTGGTCGGAGGTTTTTTCCTTCGGTGATGCGCATAAAAGTTTTGTATGGAATAAGGGGCCCAGCAAGAAGCATGTGAAAGTCCAACATATAGGCGAAGTACGACAGAACATCTGGCATTTCCGGGATTGCGTCGCGTATTTGCTCTCCCGTCAGGCCATCGGTGTGGACGGCGTCGCGTAAACTGAACGCGAGTATTGATACTCGTTGTGTAAGCATCATGATTGCGCCGGTAATATCTATTGTGTAGCCTCCCGGATCTGAATATTGTCGGAGAAGATGAAGGGCTGATTGGTAAATTAGGCAGACAACGAGCGTAATCTGTGGAAGACTCTGGAGTGATACTACTCGCATAAGAACGTAAGACACTGTAGCCTCGATTACAACGTAAACGATATCGCGCCCAAAACAGAAAGACAGGATAATTACGCCAAAGATGATTACTAAGATTTTTCGTGCTTTCACTGACATCCTTTGTACGTGTATGAGATAGCTGTATATATAGGCCATTCCCACAGCTACAAATCCAGCGGCAAGAAAGTTTAACTTGTCTACCTGGATGCCCAATTTCACAGCGATTGGTAATAGTAACTTCGAACCATGGTAGTTATTAAGCTGGGATTTCCAATGTGACATCTTTGGCGATGTTGGTACGCCAGCCTGAAAACCCTAACAAAGTCTACGCTGGCAATTTTTAAATTATCTGAGGTTCACTTGCAGGACAGATTTGATAACTATGTGTAACTGGCAGTTACTCGATGGACTGAATTCGGGCGTACCACTTGAAAGCTGTCGTTTGGCTGTGGATACCCGCTGTTGCAGAAAACAGCATTTCGTATCGACTCAAGGGTAGCTCACAATATCGTTATTCTCCAATAAGACGACCTCGAGAACATAATGCGCCTTCGAAATTTATAGGTAAAAACTGATATCAATACGAACGCTTAGTCGAACATTCCACGAGAGCTCAAAGATGAAACTGTAACACGTTTGGGGACTTGAAGCGATCTTTTTGCTTGGCAGATATATTGAGCTGAGTGCGTTAGGCCATCCCAACTTTTTTTTACTAAACTATAGCCAGTAAGGCAGTGTTATACTATATATAGTAGTATATGAACATAGTGTCTACTGGCTATGGGTCATACAACCAAATTCTTATTAACTTGTTTGATTGTACAAGACATTTCGATTTCTCTATTTGAATCGAAAGGGTCACCTTGGGTTGCCGAATAGAACATTAATTTGATGATTTATTGTCAGGAAAACGACGACAAACTTCCTAAATATCGCAGACGGATCATCTAATGATAACGGTGATCATAGTACAGTGTCAGGCCTACCGCCGATGTTAATTAATCTCATAGTATTGTCGGTCTAGCTACTTCTGATCTTCAGGATGGATAACATAAGGCGGAAATAAAAGCTTAGTAGGTTTTCCAGCGTTCAAGACTTGTTATTAAACTATTCTATTATCCGCAATAACCGCCGGGTACCTTACTGCGATGGCAGCTAGACGCGTGCGGATAGTTGAATCATTTCGTTAAAAATGTGCTTTGTTTGTTTTTTATGATATTACTATATCAATATGTTACCAGTCTTGTATATAACTAGGAAATAAATGTAGTCCCTCGTCTTGCTTCTGGGCTTTGCCCTATGAAAGCAACGTTCCCAAGGATCTCTACAGACACATACGTTTCAACGACTGTCGTACATAGGATGTAGTAGTAGTATCAAGCACCGAAGCTCCAGCCATCTTATTTCACGTTGTTCGTTGCAGCACAATGGGTGTTCCGTCGTATAACTTCAAAGCCACCTTCCCAGCTCGTCCGGACTTCTTTTCTTGCACAATTCTCGTCTTTCCAGTAGTCGGTAGTTTGAACAAGCGGGTCGTTCGAACAGCCACCACAGCGGCGTCGCCATGTCGGCCAGCCATCAGACTATTGCAACGGGGTAGCGGTTCGGGAGACAGCTGAGGCCTGGGTTAAAACCAGGAAAAGGTTTGGCGCTTCTCAAAAAGATCGATGACTTGCGCGGATGCTCCATTGCGCACTTCTGGGTCAAAGGATATATCGCTCCTACCGTTCTGTCCCATTCTCTATGAACTCGCTTAGCCATCCACCGTTTTCCTCGTACTCTCACTATTTCGAAACCCCCCTCTCACAGTCCACATCGTCATGAAACCTTTACGTTGAGCATGTTTTTTCTCATATAAGACAACGATGCAACTGCCACAACAAGCAGGACCACCGCCGATGCGGCCAAAATCGTAACAGCTACGGTAGCATCCCTTCGCGTCTCTGAGAGATGTTGTCAACCGTTGCAACCGACCCCAACCTCGTTTGGGGCTCAAAGTCCACTATCTCTTCCTGTACCTAGGCTCCATTTTCCTTTGATGTGTATGTGTCTGTTTGCTACGCGGGGTTGTGGCAGTAGAGCTGGCAGCAACTTCATGTTCGCTTCGGGTGCTCGAGACAAAAGCGAACGTCTATGGCGAAAAAAAAACGAAAGAGAGAGTTGATAATATTGATGGATTGAAATAGAGAAGGAACAACTCCAGGGAAGCCAGATAGGCAGAGCTAAGTGAGGGTTCTAGGCCGGACAAGGATAACGTCGTAAAAATGCCAACAGAAGACAACACGATTTAGTAAGGAGCAATAGAACAAGTAGAGTAAATACGTTTGGCTTAGATTCCCTGCGATTACCTCTACGAGGTTCACATAACGACGCCAGACCTCCCGGGACTAGCTGAACCTAATCTAGTTATATTACTATAGTAGATACTTAACTACGAAACTGGCAGACAGATAGACACGTGGATACATCAATTGTGGCTGTAATCCGGAGTGTTCTTGGAAGCAGATGAAGCTTAAGGTGCTCGAGCAGCCTCGCGTTCAAAATAATGCAGAACTAGCACCCTGGTTTCTCATAAAGAAACATCATATCTTCTGTAAAAGTTACTAGAAAACAAAAAGGAATTTGTTTGAGTATGTATATTTTCCCGAGAGCGATGATTCATTCATATACATGTATGGAAGAATCATCGCTGCAGCGTAGAATATTTGTTCGGAAACTATAAGCATGACATTTCTTATTCGAACTTCAATCTTTCTTGAGTTTATTTAAGGTTGTCTAGTTATTTCTTTTGTTACTACATATTGTAAAAAACCGGATTTTTTAAAATTAATAGGTGAATATCGTTACTCGTAATTGAAAGGACAATGTTGAAAGAGAAAAGAACTGAACTAGCTGCTTACGGAAAGAAATTTAACACAAAAAAAGAGTATCTCTAGTTTTCACCTTATTCCAGGTAAAGATTTCTTTGTACTAATGGAAATATTTCAATAATGAATATAGATTGCCTCATAGTTTTTATGCGCAAGCAGGTTCTCAAGGCCATAATAAAACCTGTAGGCTTCCAAATTTAGGATGAGAGGTCGTTGGACTTCCATTCGTTAATCGAAATGTGTCGTAAATGTTTAAGGCAGGCGTTACGTTGGCATTATACATTCGTAATGGAATATTTATGGTTTTCTAAATATCTTACATCTATAAAAAGTCAAAAGTAACTTTACGACAGGTCTTAATTAGAGGGTTTTTATTTCCTACTTTAAAAATTTACGATAGGGATGATAGTTTTGTCTATTAAACTATCACGGTACGCAGCAAACTTGTCCAGTCTTGGACAAGTATACTCAGTTGACAAAATACTTTTTTCTTTATTTTGGAAAAACCTCTCGGTATATTGGTATTTTCACTTAGCATAACTTGTGAAGTGATAGTGACTCGGCCATTGCAGCTAGGAGGAAGATTTAACTCGCCATTGGCCATTGCAGCTAGGAGGAAGATTTAACTCGCCATTGTTTATGTCGTTTGTATGCTAGAGATGTCGCGTTTCTACAATGCCCTACCCGGTTGTTCGAATTAAATATCTGTGAAAATGTTTATGAAAGCTGCTAGTTTAGTTGTCTTTTAACTGTGAAGGGCGTCGGAAGCCTCGCTTTTTTATATTATGCCATTCGTTGCTTTACTTATGTGTCCGCTAAAAACCATTCGGACCAAAATTGAAACGGTCTCACTCCACACACGCGCCTGTGTTTTAATCATTGATTGACACTATCTTTCTAGCCAGAGTTGACATACTCTAGTTACTCTTCGTATGGTTGCGTCGTTCATCGTGCATATGCAGACGGCCAAATGTTAAGTCTTCATGCCGATATGTTTACGTGTGTTCCGGAACGTGCGCTTTAGCTTCATGTTTCCGCAACATTCCCGGCCTCGGGACAACAACGATGTCGATTTCCAATAAAATGCATCTGCCTTCCGCGTTCATACAAGGACCCCGTGCCGTCAGACTCTTTCACGTAATTCTATGTTTTGCTGAGATGCTCAGAGAGAACGCCAGCTTCGTTCCGAAACGCTAATGAATACAGCGACAAAGAGATGCATTTTGGTTAGGAAAAAAAGGCCTTCTAGTTAACTGATGAGGTCTGAAAAGGATTTAGATAGACGGATGGGGGCTAGTTATGACATTGTGCGGAAAAGTTCGGCTGTCATCAGACGTAACAATGCTGCTGTGATCAAGATAATTGCAACTTCCGTGTCACACATCTTGGCGAGCATTGCCAATCTTCTAAACTAACGAGAAGTACTAATCTTAAGCATGGTCGTTACATAATACTATGCTACTGTAACAGCAGCGTCTTTCTCGTGCTTTTTTTTTTTATTATTTAGTTACTCATTCTTATCTAACCTATAAGCCATTTCTAATTAAATAATGAAAAAGACCCACATTTGACGTAGAGACGTGATTGTTAATCGCCGTTTGCCAAACAGTGCAGCAATGCATGCTTACCGCGCTTCTGTAAAGTTACCTGGCAATATGGTGATTGCTTTGAAGACACTGGGTCATCAGATGCTCGTTTCAAATGCGAATACTGCGAGAGATGCTACGATTGAGCTCGTAACATTCCTGAAGCGACGATGATGCTTATTAAAACAGTCAATATCTACCATTCGTAGAAAGAAACACAGAGAGCGCTGGATTTATACGAAACTGGTATCTACTCTCGACGAAATAATATCGACCCAGAGGCAACAGCTCTGCGAGACGCCGTCTCTCAAATGAAGAACCGCGCATGGCTGGACGTTTGGTCACTGCCATAAAGCCATCATTGTTGCCCTTAGCAGCCCAAATCTGGTCTTGTTTTTTCGGGCACGCAAGTGTTTCGCTAACTACAGCCTCGCTCCTGAACACAACGGTGACGCTGAATGCGCTGTACAAATAAAAATTTGTTCTCTTTGATGTCGTCCTACAGTCTATGGCGGTTAAATATTCAACAAATTTGATTTGACTGTTATTTAAGTATATAGATCCAAAAACCAGACAGATAACACTCGACAGTTCATTATCGCTCCTGTGTCTTGTTTAGGGCTGGTATATCTTATGTTTTTCTAAGGCACGTATTCGCGATCACGATAGGGGTTCAGTGTGCCATTCACGCCGATGCCGACACCTGATGCGAACAAATCAACGGGTTAGGAATAACTAAAGAGGGGCTCGCAGCTAGTTTCCAGCACTTGTACAAGCGTGTTCTGTCTAATGTCTAATTTAACTCTGCCTGTCGAGAGACAGAGCTCGTCGGTTGTGAGGGTGGCATTTGTTTAGAATAGTAGTCTGCGTCATGCGTGATTTTTGTCGACGATGCATCTTTTTCGCAAACGCCGAGATAATACACTTTCAGAAAGTTCGCACGTTGCCTCAACGTTCTCTGGTTGGACCTTTTCAAAGGCCCCACATTTCGCTGGGTCATAGTTCATAATGGACTCTTGGAGTTACGAATATCGTCAGAGAATGTATCCTTCAGTACTCGATTTCTTAACAAGCAGGATCACGAGATCGGCTGGGGTCCGCGGAAGGATCAACTTCGAAACATGCTGAACTTCTCATATAAAAGGTGATCTGAAGTAGCTCCAGAATGCTATTGAAATTCACGTATTCCGCTCGTGGTCTGAAAGGTTTCGTCTCTTGAACAACGCACTTATACTGTTCGCAGAGCTGGCAATGATACGTTTCGCACTTGAACGTCGCCTTGATCAATCAGCCGTCTCTCCCAAGTTTTGTTCTTTTCAACGAAAAATTGGTGAGGTTCTTCGTGCTAGCTTTACAATCTTTATCCCGCACTGTATTGCAATCGGCTTGCACCATGATTCTCACCATTCCGCACCATGATTGGCACGATTCAGGCCTGAGCCAAGCTGCCGATTCACGCGTTTGGATATTTATCGTTTTAATCCCACACGAAAGTAAGTTCTCGCTATCCGTATCACTAGCGTTCGTTGTGAACTCTTGATTGATATACGAGCTGCATCATCATTGCTTTCTGTTAGCAGTGGTAGATGCCCTTGACCTTAAACACACTCTGCCTCCAGCCGGTTACACTAAATTGCTTTGTATCACAACTAAAAGCAAACGGTTCTATGGTAAAATTTCGGAGGACTACTTTACTGAACAAATAGTTACGTGTTATTTTCTGGTCGTACACACAAACAATGTCTAACAACTGCGAAGAAACAGCGCAGAAAATGATTGGTTTCTAGCGTATTGACTTCGTTGGATGCATTACAAACTGCAAGCTACATACCGTATTGTACAGTTCCAGTGTATTCGAAACAAATCCGAGATCTTTCCATTATAAACTTAACGCTTTATCGTGATCTGTATCCTATAGACGATTCGTCTGCTCAGTAGTAGTTCTGAGTGAAACACTCGCATCTTGTGGGTACACACGAAGGCCAGTTACGTCGACAGGCTTGAATAATTATGACTTTATAGATAATACAGTAGATTTAATACGTCATATACAGATGGAGTTAATTTATTTTTATGTTCAATTCCGCTTTTGTTTAGGACGTTCTCAAAGCGCTATTCGGTGTATCATAGAGGAATATGTTCGGTGCAGATTATACCTGCTACTATTAACTCTTGGTAAAGGTCATTTTGACTGTTTTGCTGCTTTGTGATAGGATCTATGTATATTCTCTAAGCTGTTTTGAGGTGTGTTAGGCAGGGTCGTGTGTCCTGCTGGTCAATCTGAAGTGTCTCTAATTGATAGATCGGCCAATGACATTGAGATATAGTAGTTAAGAATATATAAGAGTACCTATTTTTTCATACTGAACAAGAGGCCAAGAGCTCTTCACATTTCGTATTCATACATACGACGATATAGTCTTGTGGCTGTGCAGTGCGATGATATTAAAACTCGAAGGAATAGAATTCATTAAGATATCTAAAAGAATTGTGATTAAGTTAGGTATGAAATAGATAACAGAAACATAGCTTATCAATATAAACATCTATATTAGGAGAAATGTGCCGCTCAAGATAGTGTGTATCATCTGTATATAATTCACTCGAGAGCCTCAATTAAGTGCGATACAACTCCTTTTGAACAGCTTGCTTGTTGAGCATATAGTGACATAAAACTATATTGACATAGGTAGTCTTTTCTAGTACGGTTTCTAAGCTAACCTAGATGCTTCAGGTTACGCCTGATTTGCACAATAGTGCTTTACAATCACTGTCTCATTTTTAGTTCACTAGAGTTAAACACTTGCAGGTTATCGCCCTACGATTGTGACTGTCGATCATTAGAACCCTAAAAAAAATTCCGGATACTATCTCGTCGTAAAGTGAAGGACGCAAAATGGCAAATGGCCTTGCACTTTTTTAGGACCCTGTGAATAGTTGATATTTTCGTCGAACGTTTATGTCTGTTGTAGGACCGTAAATGCCAAAAATGAAAATCGATTTTGAAGGGCTATAGAGTTCATCCCTTGAAGCGGGTCTCTTTGAAGCATCGTACTGAGTTGAATCAGTGGATGGTATGAAGATATTGATCTCGGCAAAAAAAGAGACCAATCTAGATGAAGCAGAAACACGGCATCTCGCGACGTACCGTATGGGCATTGAGTCATCAATCTCAGGATGTTCATTTTTTACTATCTGAGAGGAGCCCCATCTAAACGTATAAAATTAAACCGTTTGTTTCCTGTAGCGATGCCTAGTCTCCTGTAAGCAACGTCCAAGCTCTTTTCACTTAAGTACGCACGTCGCTTCATATAAACGCCATACCAAGAGTAGAATCGATGACTATGACGGGCTACCGAAAGACCAGTGATTCAAGCAGTAAACAATTGAATTTGGTGACTCACGTTTCAAATCTATAGCTTTCAGGCAACTGAATTAAACTCTCCGATGTTTTAGGCGCGTATTGTCTTACTGGCGATTTCACTAGCTAGATTTAAACTAATCTATATTACTTTTTTGTAAGTACTTATAGATTGGACATCAGAAAAGCGCTCGAAATAGATCAATGCTACGACCTACTTGATTGGATACGCCAAGCGGCACCCACCTAAATGACACATAACCGTACGCGCTTAGATGAATAGAAACAGAGTAATCTAGTTAAGACACGACATTTTTGAATCTATAATATCATACAGACAAGTGACAATAAGATTTGGGTCCCACTGCGCTTTATTTATTCTATAGAGTGGATCCTATTTTTTTAGGCGATTGTTGACGCACCCTCTCCACACGTGCAACGTGACCTACGACGCATTATAGATCCCCTGGTTTACTCTAGTTAATTTTAAAAAAATCAATTGATTTGTCCGGGTATTTGTAGGCCCCATTAATAATTTATTGGTAAATTATAGAAATCTCAAAAATCAAATTCCAACTGCTTTTTTTGCTTACCAGCCTTAATCACGATCTGTTTCAATGGATAAGTTGTTCACATCTCAATCCGGGTCAAGCTGAATCTTGTTACAACGAAAAGCGTGTAATTAAATATGTCAAGCTGCACGTATCTGAGCGTAAATTCCGCCCTGAACGATCGTACTATAAGATAGTTTATGTTTAGGACTGTAATTTGTGTCAGGTAAAAGTAACCCTGCCACTGATATTAGTACATGTGTGTCATAACATGCAATTATTTAAAGTCATCGTCCATAGCTCTATAGAAAGACCTCTTCTTTACGTTTTACTGAATTTCATAATAAGCGGTCAGTATGTGGATACGTACTCGACTTTCCATTTATCGTTGGGGTAAACCGGTATCGAGTTCGTGTTTAGAATGGAGGCTGCAATCAGGCAATAGCTTACACAAAATTAAATAAAAAAAGCCGCCAAATGCGCTGAACTTTCCTATAATGTCGTGCTCTAATGGCGATTCGGCCCAATATAGGGTTAGGGGGGTCGATTTGAATTCCGCCATACAGAATATGTCTTACAGCATTGTAGAATAGTGTAAATGTTACATTAGGCACACACTTTGCGTACGTGTTTATGTTATTACTTTTATCAGTGCCGTAGTTACAACTCTACGAAGATCCCTTGTCGTTTCTGCCCTCGTTTAATATCATCATACATATTACTGAAATAGCACAATCGTTATCTCCATAATTATTTATTCTGCACTATATTGAAACGTCACCGATAGAATGTTAAACTAGCATGTACTGATAGCTCAATATGCCTCTACAGGTTAGTCTAGTGATGATGGTAATACGTTGAGTTTCTGTCCAGCTACTTCGATGACATGTACCATCCTCGCTTTATCAAACTGGTACGGTACCAAAGTGTTTTGAACTGAAATAGCAGAACAGGAAAGCTTACCAACATGAATTTCTAATATTTCTAACCCTGGTCGTTTGCAAATTTTTCTTTTAAAGTTTACATATTTGAACGCCATAAAATCACCCTCAGATATCACGCCATCGAAAATCTTCACTCAATTATAAAAAACCATTACTTTTCTAACGATCGATTCCGTTGGGCGGGCACTGTAGCAATAGGGATGTAAAAAGTGACAGCGGACGGTCTAGTGTTAAGGCAGCCTTAATAGCCTCATTAAAACAGACCCTCGTCTTGCTTAACCTGGTTAATGGAATAACTGTCTGGGGATTATCAGAGACTATTTTTGCATATATTATAGCTTCGTTGTAATATATAGGTTATATCTTTCTCTCTGTCCGTCGTATACAACACACATCTAAACCGTAGGGATAAAAATGGCTGGTCACGCTACTTACGAAACAAATGCAGAACATCGTACGAATTGATTGTTCCTTGTGCGATTAGCTGGTTCAACTTGTCTATCTGTGAGGGTAGGTGAAGTCTACCTCCGTCGTACTCTAGCATGTAACTAGTACCTAAGGGACCTTCTAGAGGATGCAGTTTGAGGCTCATCTTCCCAGTCATCGGGAGGGGCAATCTGCAGCAACAAAATATACGCAATTATCAGAACAAAAGAAAATGAAATATTCAGTCAACGGCAATTGCTTGCCTATAATTGATGACGTCCAAATGTTCCAATGGTCAAAGTAAACTAGTCTTGACTTTATAGTAAATACTAGTAGCTACGTGGTATATGAGTAACTTATATACTTGAATCGTAAATCAATTTGTATTACTGGGCTTCACAAATACAAAAAAAAAAGTCTAAAAATCTCTCCTAGAGGAGTTGATTCACGCACGCACGCACGCACTTTTTATACCTAAAAAACCTTTCCCAATATTACAGCATAAAATGTGCCTCTGTATAGCAAGTTATAAAATGTATACTTTTTTTCATTTTTTTAATTGTTTTTAAAGTTCAGTAAGTTTAGCCCTTTTCACAAGTTCCATACAAAGTAAAAGTAAACAATTTTAAATCTTTAGATAGGCTAACTTACGAAAGACCTTGCCCAGGCAAGGACATGGTTATGATGCCAGAAGCCATGTTAACATTGCATGAAATGCCATTTCGATTCAGTGAGTCCATTAGTTCCAATGGGAGGACTTTTCCGGAGTCCATGGCCCTCTTCAGCTCGTGCGCATCTTCAGGCAGCCGATACGACTTAGGTCCTGCCATTACTTGAAATAACGTTTGAACACATCGGTGAACTATTTTGTAATAATAATGTAACAATTGAAATCCAATGCATCAAGGACAACAAAGCTCGTCAATACTTTTCTTCGTATGTCATTATAGTAATTATGTGCATATATAGAGTTTTAAAAAATATATTTACTTACTCGTCACTGAGTCACGCTCTCTCATTATTTTATACTCAAAAATTTTGTAATTTGCCATATTATCGAGAAGGCACGTTTGTTGTGAAGGCAACGTAATCTGGAGCCCATTTTGAGTGTTCTTAGCAGGCAAACCAACCCGCATCATAGCATCTCGCACCAACTCTCGGGGTACATCAGCATCGCGAAGAGCATTGGAAAGCTTTTCAGGTTGAGTCAGCATGGAGAACGGATTTCCATTCATTACGAAGATACAATCGCCTCCACGAATTACCGGCATTAGCTTAACGTAGCGAAGGGCAAAGAAAAATGTTTCTATTTTACAAAAAAAAAAAAGTCTTCACATAGTTTTTCTCATGCACACAAGATCGACACAAGCGAGGTTGTACAAAGCTGGCCGGACTAATCCAGGACAGACATGACGCTTTTAAATGTTGTTTTTGCAAGGGAGCCCTAACAGGAGCGCTTTGCATTCGACTTTGCTGGCCTACAAAATGGCTAGCGGCTATATCAATAGGCATTTGTTTGCACCGAGACCACACTGTGGCAAAGGGTGGCAAGGGCGCGGTGAATCATCGAAGCAACAATACGATATGGACAAACGGTCATTTCATCACACTCATTTAATTCAAGATTACACGTTTTACCGACCTGCATTGAATCGTCAGGACTTTTGATCACGGGTTTAGGACAAAAGCTCTTTCAATTTGCATCCGAGTCAAATCAATTTCTTACCTAAAATAACGTATAGCCTCTAAATTACATAGCGAAGACGTAAAAATTATACCAGGTGGACAGTGTGCAGCAGAACCTTACCTTTCTTTGACACAGCTTTACCTAATACGATGAATGTATGAAATTGACCCACTTGGATGCTAGGGTGTGTTGCATCACAATGCTGAGTACGCGATAGACAATCTTTAAGCGAGCGTTTGCAAGCGGTCTTTAGATTTATAGACTTTATGTCTAGTTGCGGATTGCATACTAACCTGATTTCGCATCTGCATGATTTTTGTGAAAATAATGTTCTGTATTTTATCCGGCATGGCCAGTCCGCGTTCTTCTGAAACCTTCTGTACTTTAGCAGCGACAATTTGGTTTGATTGGACGGCCTCCAAAATCGAAGGCCATTGCATAGGCAGATCAAAAGTTGATTTTCCAATTTTAACCCGCTCTGGTTTATTTGGTGAAGGCTGAACCTGGGGTGAGGTTGTCACATGTCTCAAAGGCAGGGTCAAGGAGGGCGTAATTGGTGTAGCTGAAAGCGCCCGACAACGAAGCAAATGCGTGCTGATTAGCTAACGTATTTGTGACCCAGAAAACAATTTAATATAGATGTAATTTTTTCTTCATATCGATGAGTTCATCCATAAATAAATCGCATAGTCATCGTGCAATTTATACACGCGTTAAAAACGGAATCTTTAAAAGCACTTCTATTTTAAGGTAACCTCATTAAAGTTGCAAAGCGAACATTAATCACTGACACACGCAAAAATAAGCTAAGTAATTCCTAATACAGCAGCTCCCGTTGCACCCTTTATTGATGTTACACTAATCTTTCCATAAGTGACTATTGCGCTACTACAAAAATATATTTTGAACAAATCACTGGGTTCTATGTGGATATCCTACTTCGGACTTACTTACTGTCCCATACTTTGTGTATCTGAAAGCTACGAAATGGGTAAATAGACAATCGACTCCGATTTTCAGTAGTCTCTCAGCTGACAGAACATCGGCGAACTTTGGCAGAAGTCCTTATGTATATAGAATAGTGTAAGACAGCTGCTAGACTGTGTGACCGATACTTAATACCCATCGCAGAAGTCTTCGGCCAGAATTTATACAAGAAGGCCCGTTTCTGTAATTTACTGTAGGACCATTGGCCTATAGAGAAACCAGACCAAAGATGTGATTCACTTGCGGTGTGACGTGTCAACCATAACGGAAACATGGCCCTAAGCTCCTTATGGAAATAGACATCGAGATAGTCGCTGCCGTTATTACTACTTCCACTAGTACAAGCTAATCTAGCAGCCATCAAAGGCGGGACGAAGACCACCGTTGCGAGTTCACCATTCTAACCTGCCACAATCCTTCCACTGCTTAGAAGCAGAATTGGTTTCACGCGTCAATAAGCCATACGACTCTACCTGCTTTCTACCAAGGATTGAAAAAAATAACTTAGCAAGTCTAAGAGTAAATTATTTGCATGCAAGTCGAATACGTATTCTATGAAGTAGGACGTTGCAAGCTGCTAAGTTTCTACTGAATGTCAATGTCTATCTCGTTATAAAGTTAGGGTGAACTCGTCCGTTTCGTCAGGACTACCTTCAACCGTTCACGACTCCCCGTAGAAAAAGACTACGACGAAACCGATTCTAACAATATAAATGCCCTTCACCGGAGCTTTGCTGAGATCGTGTACCACATTTGTGTAGATTAGTATTGTTGCACTGGGTATATGCGACATCTCTGATTTAACCGAAAGACATGTTGCGTTGCCCAAGATACTTTTCAACATACACAAAAATGCTATTGTTCTCTTACAATATATTGCGAGTAGATGAAGTTCTTCACAGTGAAACCTACTAGAATAGAAATTAACAGTGAACTCTCTGAAGTGCAAATGTGGGGCTTTTCGATAGATTTAGAACAAAACAGTAACGCTGTCTACAGTTTCGGCTACGTCGCAGATGGCGACATAGCCGAGATCGTAATACGACGTATCGACGCTGCTGAAGTGCTAAAGAACGCTATTCAACAATTGTTACTGCATTGACGGATACATTTCTGATCTTAACACTGATAGAATAGTTTAACGTTCGTGATAATATGCCCAAACAAATGGTAGCGTATATGGCATTTTTTCATTTATTCATTTTACTTCGGTGATGAAAAAAGTTAAAGCTTCATATTTGTCATCGCACTTCATTTTGATCTGAAGCGTTACCTTTCAGTGTCATGGGTCGAGACTTTGACGACAAGGCGGTCGTGAGGGTCCTTCGATTGCAGTCGAATTCAGCGGGAATACCATGACGCGCAAGTAGCTTCATGATTGGAAATGCCATGTCTGCATTAACAAAACTACTGATGAGTACTTTGGCCTTTCGTAAAATTTAACAATTTATATGAACATAGAGAAAGTATAAATCATGTTGTATGTATGATTGCCACATTTCGAGTGATATATCTGTTATTCTAGGTTATTGAAGACCCCTGGATTTCACATATGCATAGAGACAATTCTGGCTTGGGTTGAAGTATGGGTGAAATAAATTTATCTACCTTGTTACTATTCAGTGCGAAATACCTTATGAGAAAGACCACATGCCTCAAAAGGGAAATTTTCTACCTGAACTTGAGTCGAGCAGTCTGTTGAGACTTTCTTCCTGCCCAGGAAGGCAAAATGATTTGCCACCCGCACTGAGTTCCACTTGAACTGGCTCTCCGTTTAAAGCGTGAATTCTCATCACTATATCATTTTCAGGACTGCAAAGATCACGAGAATATATGCACTAACTTACAAACTTATAAATGTTTGACATTTTTACGCTCGGTGCTACCGGTAAACACTGTTTTAGAAACTCATTTGCTAATTGTGCAAGTTCAACTGTATTTCAATGAAAACTTCAGGCGACACTTCTAAGAGTTAATTCTTGATCACCTCTTTAGGTCTAACAATGCCATGAAGCTTTCTCAGGAATAGTGACTGATACGGTTTTAAAGATACAGCACCATAATTTTATTAGATCATCAGAAGACCGAATGAGTAGCGTTTTGTATTTATTTAAATACCAAGATTGTACTTGTATTAGAAAATTGCAGAACGTATAGATAATTTGTGAAAAGATAGGCCATTTTACAGTACCCACCTCGGAACAAATGAGGGAACCATCGTCATATGGTTTCCGTAATGGACAACTGGAACTCCCGCAGATCGAAGCGCGGATGCCATTTGCTAAAAAAAGACCGACATAAAAAAAGAACGCTTTGAAATGCGCCACTCCATAATGTACATGATGGCGAGTTATCAGCAGTTAATTTGGTGCAAAACAATCCTAGCTTAAATAAAGCTGATATCGCTGCAGTTACTGAACGTGTCTTATAAACGCTGTCATTGTTCTATTTACTTTGTCGAAGTTACTCAGAGGTCTTTTGCGCATCTCTATGACCCAACAACTTGACTGTACTATTCGAGACATGAAGACAATGATTTCTACTACTATTTTTTTCTACCGGTTTTTACAACCATTTCTACCTACTAATTCCAGGAAAATGTTTATTATACAAAAACTTGTAGTAATAATAATAAAAAATATAATACAAAAACCGGTAAGCAATTACTAACACTCAAAGCGCTGATGTCCACAAAATTAGCCAGCTCGCTCATCTGCTCCATGGGAACTTGCAAGTGTCCTATGCGAAGACTCATGTCGCCATTGTGATCACACACTATTGAACAAGGAACCGGTTGATTTGCAGGAAGAATTGGCGTAAGAAAAGCTTCTTTCTGAGAGACAACCCTGCGGTATATTACAAAGATGTCAACAATAAGTGATTACGTGAAGAGCAGCACCTAAATTACTTCTAAAAAGTAGTGTTAATGATTGACTATGTTATGGTCTTCCTTATGACATATGTGTGGCCGCCTATCGCCTGGAGGCTTCATGTACATGATTCTTATCAGAAATAGGAGTTCTGCGAATTTTAGCATTTAGCCAGTTAGCCGGCGGGCTTTTTGCATCGAATCGCTCACAAAAAATGTCGCACAAAAAATTCTTTAATTTAAAGAAATAACGTTTTGAAATTTGACTTTAAAGTTTGTGGAAAATTTATCAGATTATATAGTTAGGTTAGATATCGCTTTCAATGAACGTTTACCTTAGACCCTTGGTTGTTTCGTTCAACACAAAAAGAAACGTGATTTTCTGTGTTAAATAAATGCACGCTTTTAGACGCATTTTTAAAGACGTAAAAACAAACCCAAGTACCAGATTTTTTAGGCCTGCACATATTTGCTTTGCCTGTTAATCCGTGAATCCCGGACATTGTAAAAAAACAACACAGTTGTTACATACAATATTATAATACGCAGTGTACGGTATACAGCTTTGGTTATGAAAGACGGTATTATTTTTACCTTTGACTGGGTGTTTGCGGCCGAAGCCTTGGATCCGGCGCGTTGTTCTTGGCATGACCACTCTTGTCAAGCATGTTGGCAAGCACCTGCTTAGGAAGGCCCTTTTGCATTGCCTGATTAGCTAGTTGCCACTTCTCAAGACTTAGATCATATAAGCGACCGTTGCACATCAATGGAGCCTATGAATGCAACATGACGGGAGTGAGTTGTTACGAAAGGTGTCCCTAGACAGCCAGGCCAAAAATCAACCTGGTTTGCAGAAATGTTTTATTAATTCAACTTTTGCCTTACTCCTAATTACTCTTTATTTCCGGACATTACGGCACGTAGAGCCACTCACACAGACTGATATTGTTTTAAAAAATCAAAAAGATAATTTATAGATTGTACCGCTTTCTGAAGCTTCTCTTTGGTAGCTCTCCGGATGGTCCTGAGCTCATCCATACCCTCGTCCTCTATGGTTTATAGATTCATTACTGTCTCCAAGATACCGATATGTGGTTTTTCCAATAATATCTGAATCGAATTTGTCGGAAACCGTATATTTCTGCTACTCTCTAATAATTTTCTTGGTCTAGCTTTTTAGAAACGCATTAATTTTACTACGTGTCTCTCGTGGCCTTGAACCATGTAGTCCGCTATCTTTAGGCCTTAGATTGGGGCTATATTAATAGCATCCATTCGTGTCTTCTGGTCGCAGTATGATACCTCTATTGATTTTCCATTGCTCAATATTATATAATATAATTGTCACTTTTCAACAGCGTTGACATCGCGGTTCGTTCAGGTGACTCCAACAGAACCTGTATTTCGTTAGGAAATTATTTCACTATGACGGAAGATAATCGGTATACTATATTATTATATCGAAACGTCACAATGCCAAAGTCGTCTTCACTTTGTTCGATATAAACTTATGTTTATAGATGACGTTTTTGTTCATTGAGATCTTAAGCCGGTACCCGATTTCATCTATATTCCCTAAGCAGATCCAATTCGATCTGTACAAATGCTTGCTACTATGTTGTTGAATTTTTACTTCGATTTTCAACTGCCTAATGAATCTATATGAAGCTCATGTCGTGCTCCTGTTTCCTGAAAATCCAATACATATCATTTACTAAACAAACAAATGCGGATAAGAACGATTTTCATATTCATTTTGTTTTATCGCGGACCAAGCATAGGGCGTGCCATACGAGGACGCTATTCCCCACCAGTTCTTTTGATAGTACCTTTAAGTTAATATTAACTTAGTCACAAGCGTACCCAAACATTAAGTAGTGCTTGTGAAAAATTTGGGTAACACGAGGATGATTCTCCATATTGCTGAACATTGCAAAATCACTATCAGATAATATTTCAAGGATATAGTAGTACGCTATTTCATTGAATCAGCCTTGTGTTTGTGAGCAACGCGACACGCTTATTTTCTGGACATCTAAGCAGCATCTGCTTTTTTTTTACACTAGATTCTAAAACGTATACTTCATGCGTCCGTAATGTGAAATTTCGCTAACGAGACTTCGTTTGAAAGGCTATTCGCAATTAGTTAGGGGTAGACTTAAAACTATCGATCTCGAATAATTATGGCGAACCCTGCGATGAAATTTTTCGGTATTTTTTGAATTTCTTGCATGAGCAGTCCTAATGCCATCAGCCACTATGAAAGAATGAATTAATGGTCCATAGGACCAGTTGCGCCGACTACGATAACATATTATAAACAATAATGGGTCAAATAACCTATATTATAGCAAATTTTTAACATTGTATGTGATATGCAAATGTAATTAATATATTGAGTTATTGAAAAAATGTTACCCGTTTTGTGGCCAACATTTTTAAAGCCACTACTTTTTGTTATATATCAAAATTATATTGCCAAACGAAGCATGCGCCATTTTGATTGGTGATCGTCTGCTATTTTTCTGCTAACGCCATAATCCTATTACTGTAGAACCTCGATGGTTCATAGGCGAGAAATTATAACAAGTGCTTTTTGCGTTTCGGTTAAATTAACACCATTATGGGAGTTCTACAGAGATTAAAACAAGTGATAATCTAATGGTGCAAAATCCAAGCGATACGGCGAATGCATGCAAATTTCTCGTCAAGCTTCTCTTAATTTTTGTGGCCTGCCATTGTTATGGTGACAGACGACGTTTTTTCTGTTTACCATTTCCGATCAGTTCTTTTCAATGGTTTGTTAGAATTCGGCTAATTGTTGACAGTAGAGATCTGAACCAATTGTTTTGCCAGGCGGCAGTGACCTATAGTGCACTGCTTAATTCCATGAAACGTATCGAATCTCCCGCCGAACTAAACTCTGCCGCAAATCGTGAAGTACATTATTGTCGCATGTGACGCGCTTCTGATCACCCGTAATCAACCACTTCAGAAACGGCTCTATTTTATTGTATTTCTATAGAGTTTGACAGATGAGGACACGATCGAGTCCACTACTCTCGGTCAGTTTTTCTTGTGGCATTTGAACATCGACTTCTTTTTTCACTATCTTTAAACGCTTGAAAACTGTTGGGCATCGCATGTTTAGTTCTTCAACGGTATCGCGGCTCAGTCTTGTTCAACGTTCGCGATAATGTATGAAACGTTTTCATAATCGGTCGAGCATTGCGACTATCATCTTCCGGAATCGAAGTTTAAAACCTTTTTTTTTCCAATAAAACATCTTAACCATAAGCAGCATACATTCTTGTGTGATTCTGGGCTACATTTGTATCTTCATTATGAATGAAAGAGCTCGATCTTAGATTTGAATAAATAGATTCCAACAATTTTAGCACATCTACTGTTGTCAAATGTCGATCATCGAAGTACACCAACGCCAACAAGACACGACTTACATTGCCTGAAATACATGACCTTACAGTTTTCCAGCTAGAACAATGGTCAACACATTTTTCCACAAGCCAATACGTATTGAAACCGTTTCAACAAATGACAACAAAAATGATTTATATGAAACTTCTTTTTTAAAAAACTGGTACCTGTCAGTTACTGTAGTGGTGGCTCTTCTATTGTTTCGTTATGACATCTCATATAAACAAGTCACAAGCTATCTGTAGAATTTCGAGGCTTCACCTCTACTTCAGGCAGTACTAAAGGTAATTACCAATGTTCAGGTGACCTCGTGCAAAGTTTGTCATAGAATAGATGCATTGGTTTCTTCTGCTGAAGAGTCAAACACTCAGTTCCTTTCTTATTGCAGCAACTTCATTTGGGACACAATAAATATATCAATGATTTTTAATAAAATGTCTATTAGTGAAGTTCAAAGAACATCTGAGTGACTTGTTATTAGCAGACGAACTCACCTTCGGCACATTTGGCGGGTCATTTTTTGCAAGCTCCATTGCCAGGAGCATCATTTGTGGTCCCCGAGGGTCCTCAAGAATAAAGTCCGCGCATTCATTTGATAAGGACGGACCACATTCTGCAAACTGCGTCCCAAGAGTCACTCTACATAGGCTGCTAAAAGCCAGCATAGATCCAATCATGAACACCACTGCCATATCGTAAACCTTAATTTGTATTGAATGCCGACTTCTGAAACTTCAAATTAGCCGGCTGACGATTGTATGTTGAAGTTCAATACTTTTTTAAATTTTATTTTTTGTACATAGGGTCGTCATAGCAAAAGCACGAAACAGAGTACTTCGTAACAAGTCCTCATCCGGCGACTCTTGGCGGTACTTCGTCAGCTTACAAAGTAGAAAGCACACGACGCAAACCTGAATGCTGATAAATCTATTTAAGCCTGTATGTACGTATTCTAACAGTTATATATAAATACAAAAATTACTGGGAATGCAGTATACTTGGTGATCTACGAGGAGAAAACTCATTTTCAAATGGTCCCCGCTCTTTCTCATCGTTTGAGTAATGGTGATGCAGCGCCTCCTTTGTGGCGTTGGGGAAAACCCGAGATTACGGCCGGCAAGTGATCATACACATCATCTTCGAGGACAGATTGATACACACTTTCGTCCGATGGGATCCGGACCAAGTCGAGATTTCACGAAGCATTGATAAACAGGTCGGACGAGTCACAGACAGTCACACAAGCAGCAAACGTCATGCTGCAAACATTTTCCTTTAGTTGATTTAGACGGTAGGAGCGTTCGTTGGAACATCCCACAGAAATTTCTGTCCATGCTAAAAACTCCAGCGTAGATCCCACATTGTCGCTGCAGGTCAGCATGCGACACTGACAGAATGATCTACGCTGGCTTTATCCGAGCGGCGACTTCAAGAGGATAATTACAAAGCGCGTATTTGTTGCGTTCTCATAGTATATATAAATATACGTTCAATAAACGTGCTATAATGATGAAGGTAACTACATTCAGTGTATATACGAAGTCGACAGAATTCGTTAAATGTTTTCGCATACAGGGTCTCCTTTACAGCCCTTGACTAAGTGCGACCTCAACATAAACGATCTACTCTCAAAGTCAATATCATCGTCTTTCAAAGACCTTTCAGCTTTCCCTCATTTTAATTTTCATCCGACTTCAATGACAGAGTTGCCAACGGATGAGTTCGACAATATATATTGTTATAGATCAGAGCTGGAATATTTTTGTATATGTACATTTTTTTTGAAGCATTACACATTTTTCAACGAAGAATTTATCTAAAATCACCAAGTTACGGAAAAGTAGTCATCCGGAAAAGTTCAATCAAGAAAGTTATAGTTGTAGATGACTTAGCTGAACGTTCGCAATAATACGTTTGCAAAACAAATTGCTCGAGATATAAATTGGCGTTAAAAAATGATATTAATAGAAAATCAATATACATCACAATGACCGAGCAGGCTTTGTATGCTAGATTTGGCATAAGCATAATTTAGGCCGGGCGATTCTGCGACATAAAGTACATAAGTTCTAAGTGAAGTTGTAACTAAATTTTTCATTCATTTTATCATTCTAAGCATTGGTTGACATTGTTTTACGAATATTATGGATCAAGCCAATGAAAATACTTCAAAAGAGAAAGAAAACCCGTTTTTTCCTAAATACTTAGAATGTTAATTGCGGTCTTTTAAATCTGAGAACATGAGGGCGCGGGTTGTTTTCAGATTTCGATTTCGGCGAAACATCTGAACAGATTCCACTGTAGGCGCTTCGGATTTGGACTAGAACGGAAGACAGGTAGCTTAATTTTTACCCAAAGGCGATAATCGTACATTGAGTCTAATATCACCATTGTAGCTTATATGTTATATTTTTCTTTTATTTATCAAAGATCGCGTGTTAATTGTGACGTTAGAAGTGGTAAGGCGTCAGAGCGGTGATTGGGAACAAAAATTCTAAATACATTTCAAAGCTTTCTGAGTAGAAGTGTCGAGCCATGTTGCACGTTTACGAAAAATGGGAAACTTGCTGGACTAGTACGGACGATTCAAAACGGTGATACGGTAGACGTTAAAGGCTTAAAAATAGTCAAGGTACTTAAATAGGTTTCCTACTTTACGCCTGGACCGAGTTTCGCAACATGAAGTAGCTTCATAGACAAACTCAGTGGAAAGTACCGACGAATTTCCATTGCACAACTTGCCTAGCATAAGCAGCATTAGTAGAAGCTACTTTCTGAAAGACACCAGATAGGTAGCATGTTTTGGATCAATACGCTACGGTTTATCTGTATTGTGGGTTGTAACAGCGCACGGAGAAAACAAGCATTTCCTGTCTGCCCTTGCTTGGGGTCACCTCACAATCAAATACTAATAGGGCTGTTTGTAAAATGCAAGAAATATTAGTACCAAGTTATAATAGGCCGTGCTCTATTTGAACAGTCTTTCGAACCTGACTAGAAATAAGACGTTAGCTAGTACCAGGTTGTAATTGACCTCTACTTTATGCCATGTGGCCTCTTCTGAATTAACTGAAAATTCTTATGTTTACCAGATCTATACGCGAATAGAGCACTACGCAATCTGGCCCAGGTCTTTTTTTTTACCAGAAATTTCCTTTCGAACCGATAGCCGCTTTGGTGATGATCGTTCTGCGAAAATCCCGATACAAGCACTTTTTCGCCACGTTTGAGAGAAATATAAAATAATGCGTTTTAAAATATACCTTACATGATACTTCTGACTCGATTCTTTTATTTGATCGTATAATACATACGATCGTTGCAAGCAAGCGCTGCATCGATGTGCAGTTAAGCAAGTAACTAAATTTGATGGGCATGTTTACCTTGTACGAAATATGGGTCGCACCGGGCTCTGATAATCACTTTTTTTTCCGAAACACAACTGGAATTCAGAATTTCGTATCAAATCGATAGGTACGACAGTATCGCCAATAAGTACCGGTTGCGTCGTTATCTGCCTATCTAGCATGTTCGAGGCGAAATAGCGTCCGTCGATTTGGACGCAAACGAGCAGAACCTGCTGTCGCGGTTGCAACATAATAAACTCGTTCTGTTTTGCCCCAAGCACTTCGTCGCTTCAAGAGACGGGGCCGCGACAATCGAATTGCTGTACCATCGAATTTGCCTCGGGCTACTTGGGTGCAATGGGCAGCAGTGCCACTAGCGACCGTCGTAGCCTTCAGTAGCAACGACAGCCGGATCAGTAGCACCACTGTCGACAGCGCAACGACTATCCTTTCCTAGCAATATAACGCACCTGGGCCAGTGAGGAGTGGGTGGCATCGAGAAATGGGTGCGTACAACTGCTATATATGCCAATCTAAGTAAGTATATTTCAGCGTGATCCTAGTTCGCTACGTTACGGCACTATGGCACATAGACATTTACGTGTACGAACTCCGCTCCGTTCCACATTCCAGACATCTCCGTATGGTAGAATCAAGATCGGCCCAATATTGGATATTGACCTAAAGTGCCGATAGGATCTTGTTCAGGCGAGCGCAGTGAATGAATGCCCGAACAAAGGGGTGACTAGGCAAATGTTCCCGGGGCACCAAGCAACATGTACAACGATCATACATACTCCCATGCATGTACCTAGTTGCAGGGACATGGGCTGCTAATATGTTCATCCCGATAACGACTCCATAAAAGCTTCGCAGTATTTCTTGTTTCTACGAAACACAACTAGACATATCGTGTTAATTAGACAATTAATGTAAAACCTATTACTAGAAACATACGTCGGATAAAACGAGATCGCGTTTTACCCTAGCTTATCCAAATACGCTTGAAGGGTTCCGTGTTAAAAGGGGTATTGTAAATTCACTAAATTTATTAGTCATATAGCCAATGAAGTTGCTGTGAAGTCTTAGTTTCTCACGAAAACGAAAAAAGTGACTCCCTTTACGTATTGTGCTCGAGTGTGTCTCATCCAACAAGTCAATTATGCACAATCGTGTGGCAGAATAACATTTACTAAGCTAAATACTTTCACCTGCTCGACACGAGCTCTACAAGTTAACGTTTGAATCAGGGAAAACAAACGCAGAGCCCTCGGATTTCAATGTACCGATAGCATGTTTTCAAATGACCTATTCTATTTTGCCGGAAAGTATTTGACAGCGAAAGCCAGTCGTAAGGACCTTTGTAGGAGCAGGTCTATCCCAGGCCTTCTGTTACTAATCCGGCTCAGCTTTTGCTCAGGCACGTTAAACTAACAAGGAAGTGCGCAGAAATAAACTATCTTCTTGGTAGTTGCTTTGTATCGCACAGGCAGTAATAATGTGAACTCCGTTAAGGAAAAGGCACGGACGATACGTTAGGAAACCTATTAGTCCTTCATCGCGTCGTCGATGTGTAAGCAACGATACCTAGATGGAAGCCAGGCGAGTCTGGTAATAGGTCTAAAAAAAGAGGATAAAACGTAAATCTCGAACATCGAAGGCTTCACTGATCTCGCAGAGATAGCTTGAGAACTATCGAATCATTATTAAATCGAGCGATGCAAAACAAGCGAATTCACATAGAAAATGTGCGACAGGACGGAACGCCTGTTTGCCTCGAACATCATCCTATTCAGAGCGGAGGGGTGGATAAACAACAAGCAGCAAGTAGACGCGCTACAATCATCCGGGGTTCTTCTGGCGAGAGCGAGAACGGGGATCTTACGTCTGAGCTCTAGCAGGATAGTCATAGGCAGTGAGCGAGAGTACGAACAACAGCGACTGACCATGGATAGATACAGGTGATATGCTCGTTTGTGTATATTGAAGCGCCAGAGAAACGACGAGGCCAACAATATGTTTGGTCAGTAGAGACTACAGTTTTATTATTGGCATGACCGTTCAGGTGCCGCCGCCGCCACTACTTGTAATGAAGGGTCGAATATGGACGGGGTCTGGTAGTGGATGTGCTTATACGACACCGAAGAGTGATCGAGGCGGTCTACTATAACAGCTTTGCTAGTAGTTAGTAGTGGCCATCCTTGGCGGCGGCGCAGATAGCACCGGTTGGCCTGGTCGGGATAAGCTCGAATGCTATCCCATCTACGTCTAATAACTGCCACTCAGTTATGTTAGAGTTATGCGGCCACTGCCGCTTCTGGAAGACCGCCAGTCAGGTGGAGAGGTGCACGTCGGTTACATTAAACAGAGTTTGGGCGGACGCTGCGGCGGCGCCGGGCTGCGCGCGCGTGGCCGAGAACCCGTGCCCCGCCACCCGATACGATGACCGACGGGATGCACGGACCGACCTAAGCCTACGACAGGTCGCCTACTGCGAGACCCAGCAGCATCGTGATCACTGGTACTGCTACGAGCACAAAACGGTACGGGATTATCGTCGAAGAGGAGCAGGTGCAGGCTTTTGTCTAATACGCGTCGAGCGTACGGCACTTAGATTCAAGTATAACTGTTTTTTTCAGGTTGCATTCGATTGACGGCTGAAGCATGGCCGAAGAGACGGGGCAGCTGGATTGTTTCGCAAACCAACACTCATTTAGATAATATACTACGCTACGTATCGTTAGTGCATCAGCCTCCCCCCCCCCCCCCACACACACACTCATTTGTCCGAAATTCACTTGTCCGCTGCCGCTAACGCCAGTCCCTTAGCAACGATATCGAAACATCACAGATATCAAGTATGGATGAGTATATTGCCAAAATGTGTATACTCTTAAATGGTTGGACTGACTCTTTTTCGTACGTGCAATAGTGCAGCCAAGTGACATAGAGTGCGGGATCAATCATGCGCGAAATCCAGCACCAGTACCATAGGGAGATACCCTAAATTAAAATAAGAACGACGCAGAAACGGATGTGGCGACCTACGCGTCCTGCAGTGTGAAGAATATCTTTTATGAATGCTAGTGGGAACGCGACGATCAACAACTGACTATTCGACAAAAGTGCTCTGATGAGACGATAGCTCATCTTTGGGCAAAGTGAGATTCAACAGACTTAGTTTTACTCTGGAATCGACTGAAGCACGATTGAGGACACTGACAGCGAACCGCGATGGATTTTATGGAGCGTTGTGACTCTCCCGGAGTCCTTCTTGACGAACGGAAGGAGCGTAGGCGGACTCACAGCATCAACAGCGCATTTGGGCGACTCCGGTCCCACATACCCAACGTGCCCAGGTTAGTACTGATCTCACCCCCTCTAGTGGCGAAATTTTTACAAGATGTTGTCCTAACGGTAGTGTGAAAGATTTTCATGTGTAGCACGTTTTATTGTTCGTATACCGAAACAGACAATCCACACATGTGTTCCGTTGCTTTCCGCAGAAATAATATTTCAATGTGTGCGTGTCAGTCAATGAGGCGTCCTATAAAGCTAAACCGCATAATCTTCTTCGAGGCCATTTTCAGTTCTACGAATAGTCACTTCATTGTTTCGTATGATTTAGGATTTACCTCTGATAATCATACATGTTTTTGATTTTCTAGTATCTACTATGGCACGCTCATAGCTCTCTATTTGGACACTTATTTCAAGTCATTTAGCCTCAGATACCTTGGTGCGGGAAGACTCTATAGTATGTGTATGTGTGTGATTAAGTTTCGAAAGCGGTCGTTCCGGTCTGGGCTGTGTTAGGCTGTCGCACCTACACGTGCTACGATATATTTTACCAATAACAGTATGTTTTCTATTATCTAATAGAGTTTTTCTTGATCCGCATATCTATTACAGAGAAGGTGACCTTAGCAAATTTTCTGCTGGTGGTCAAACTTTTAAGTTTTGTATTATTTTACCACGGAACGGTGCGGGTATCTAAGACGATATCGTATCTGGCTAAATGTATCTGCGTGATAAAAATTGTCTTTACATATCCGGAAATATATGTGGCAAATGGAGAATTGTATTGCTTTTATATTGGTGAATACATACACTGTTGTTTATGAGATGGTATATATTAGCATAGGTCTGGGCAAAATCGGGTTGAGCTTTGTGCGCATGGAACCAGCAAGTCGTCTTTTTGCCCTGACTATCCCAGCACGTGTGTAAGTAGAAGACTGATAACAACAAACGTACAATTGTACCCATTGAGAAACGTTGTTGTACTTTGTGCGATATTGCTTTTGGTAGTTTGCATTCAAGTGGATTAGTACGTTTCACAAATAGGCTTAAAATTACGTGCCTTAAATTTGGCCTAAACAATCAGTTTTCCACGAGCGGAGCTATTGTTTCTCGCGTACGAGTTTCGTCGATTATATATGACTAGGCCGTTTCTTACCTCTTCATCTGGACAAAAAATCTAAAAGGTGTTTGTGTGACTTTTGGCTAGAAGGCGATAATGGCCATCGGTGCTAATAACCTTGACCGTAGAAGCTTAGTATCCATATATCAGCGTCAGTTTACAGTTTATAGGCATTCGAATATATCATTAAACGCTTGAAGTTAATATAGAGATCGTCACGAGAGCTGACCCTAAATACCTACGTATAAACATGAAGTCTCGTCTTTTGGATACTCCTAAAATCTCTATAGATTTTACGCTCGTGAATACGCTTACAAATTTTAACACATGGTTTAATGGAAGAGAAATTTTTCAAATCACCAGAGCGATATGAGGCTCAGGAGGTGCTTAATCGGATAGTTGCACGGTATATGTTGTCAGGGCTTTTCGAGAGAGGCTAAAAGATAACAGGAAATCTAAGGTCCCATGTTTTCATCGCCAGATCGTACTGATAGTGATAAAGCAAATGTAGTAACCATCATGCTTTTACGCGTCGACTAATACAGGTTGCGCATAATCTATAACCTCCAGGGACACAAAGCTCTCAAAGATCAAAACTCTTCGACTGGCCATCGCCTATATTAGCTACCTGGAAGAGTTACTCCGGTCGGAGCGACCCTGCGAAATTCAAGAAGGATGTGGCTTCGAGGGAAGCGATGAAGAAGATTTTTGTGACGACAACAAGGTAAGCCCATAACACGTTTATTACTCTAAATATGTCGTATTTAGTTTAAAGTATATAAGGTTATTAAGATATACAAAAGCGTTTGTAACACTGATTCTCTAGGGTCCTCTAAATATAAGTTAGATAATATGTACGTTTTTCGCTTTTCCTCTTCTTAGCCGGATTGCGGCCTCCGAAACCGAACGCGCACAGGATGGCCTCATCAAGTCTGGGCTGCTGAATTCTCCCCGTCTGCCGACAAGGCGATTGCCGCAAAGGGTACGGCCCGTCTCGAGCGCTGCTAAAAGAACCCATTTTCAATAACGCTTCGCCAGAGCGACGGATATTTTCAGCTGAGATAAATGCGTATCTGTCGGATAATGCGCAGCAGGGATATCTGTGGCTATTGGTCAAATCTGCGTGTAAGTGAAAACAATAATAGTACTCATACAATCATCAATGAAAAAGAGAAGTTTATAAAAAATTTAGTAAAGCTTTGTAGATTAAAATCGAAAATTGGTGTGTTAACATGGAAATAAATTCACAAATACCCGATCTGACACTCAGACTTATGCACAACGGTTTAAAAGAGTATTCATTGACCACTGCATATCAGGATAACATTGCATGACCTACTTAAACATATACCTAGTTAGGTAACACCGTTTCCTTTGATAGCCTAAATATATACTTAATACTTACCTATTTATCAGTGCTGCTATTTCAATATGTAGGAAGCGTTTCGAAGCTGAAAGCGGTAGTCGATGTCACGACTGCCCAATTATTAAGCTATTAAAATGTAGTAAATTACTATAGTTTATAATTTCATACTCGATGTTCGTGTCTGCATTGGTAAAAACTGAGTATGGGGTCAATTAGCTCAGGATTCGTACCCGAATAGAGCGTTGGTGCCCCCTCCAAGTATAAAGAAAGCCGACGAAGCTTATTCATTTGTTGTTAAGGCTCCGATTGTACCGGTTTCAATACTTGTAGCATAAAGGTATCGTGATTTACTGGATATTTTATTCCATCCCGCAGTGAACGGCAGGAGTAGTTTCTACAGGGCCCTTAAATAAACAGACGCAAAAAATTATTCGGGTAACCCGAAGTCAAAATTCCCGGAACAAAGAATTGTGTTTGCTCAAATCTGTCTTATATTGCGTTCTCGTTTTAGATAGATTCCAAAAACATTTACTTGTCTAGTGAAATGACATAGACCGGGAATTCTCAGGAGTACGAACCTCGGTGCTAATCCCGTTGGTAATATACAAGTCGATGGGGTCTCGCACTTCAACACTGCTAATAAATTACTATTTCTGACTTCTAGGCCGGCACCATAAACCTTATACCAGCTAATCTGAAAATTTCCATTATAGTAAGGTTCATGGATAGTTCTTCACGCAACCGACGCCCATATTTTGTTTCTGTAATTAAATGTGCATATATTTTGAATACTTGAAACATTTTTAGGCGTATTTATGTATGAAGTCTCAAACGTACAGACCTATGACAAATTTAGACGCGACTAAATTGTACGACGAAAACTCGTACGAGACCTACCGCTGGCTCTACAGCCGACTTCAAGATAAGGCAAGTTCGAATAGGTTCTGTGAGGGATAAATGAAGCGCCGTGACGCTTACTAATATTGATTATTATTTGGGTACACTAGCTTCAATAAAGCCGTTTATATACGTTTGAGTATTAAAAACGTTTCGAAATTCTGTACGAGGCATGCAGCATGGCTGCGCTGATACATTCGCTGCCCCCATATAACTATAATGCATACTCATTCGAAATTTAATGAATTGAAGTTTGTAGACACAATGCATAAGACTTATGGTGATCGAAAATATCGAGTATGATCGTGACTGTTGTCAACCGAGTAACTTATATACAGTGATTTAGTTAAATCACATTACCGCAGTATGTAACAATTTGCCCTCTGTAAAATCTCTATGTAGTATTTACACTACGATACTTTAATTTAAAGGTCGACTAGAGGTGTGCCCAAGTTGTTGATATTACATTCAACTTCAAAAAGTGCGAACCGTCACCGGACGTAATATAGTCTCTTTGTCTAGCTTGTTGAAAACTACAGAGTTTTTTTTTTTTTTCGTAATACTAAAACGTGTATAACAGGCAAGGTATTCGGAATTTCACAAAATAACACAAGCAATGACATTAAAAGACTCAGTCACAGGGTGGTCTTGAGCGATTTCGGACCTATGTTTCTTCGAACTATTGGCTTAATGGTAGGCTCGGTGCATAATCTATCTTCTTGCACGTGTCACAAGCAAGATTTCATGGACTTCAAAAACCATGGGGATATTTTTCGTCGCATTAGAAAAACTATTGAGCTAACCAAATGTTAGTCCGTGTCAGTGAAGATAAGTACTAGCCGAGCTATCAAATTTTATTGAAGCTTGAAAATAAGATTAGACGATACCGAATGATATTATCGAAGCTTTTGAAGATGCTATTGCTGACGATATCGGGGTTCGCCAAGGTTTTCAGTCTTCTTTATTAATTAATGCTTTCAGACGACAGTTAAGGTCACCGTTTATGAGTGTACCGTCCTCTCTGGGCTGAGCTAGACACAGCCTAAAAGGAAATTATTGCGTACGTGAGAGGTCTTATTTTTTTTTTGGGAATAGTGTTTTATCAGCATTCCGTTCTAGTACTGCGAGTTGGATGCGAGACTAGATAAACTAATAGCGTTTTAAGGGAGTCCCAAGAGAAAATCTTCTTTAGATAAAGTAAAGAAAAGCGGGCGCTTGCATCGTTCCCATACGTACATTATCTAACGCAGTTTTTTATCAGTGAATTAATAGACTTAACCTGAAGGTTAACTACGATCAACAAACATCAATAAGAATAATAATAGAGGCTGCTACTTTTGCCATTATGATGGCTAAATCTCGTAACAAGGTAGTAGTATAGCGTGTCTAAGACGACAGTATGGTGCCGATATTAGATGATTCAGCTAAAGATTGGGTAAGATTTATTAGATGAAATTATAAGCGTCATTATTTCGACCAGCGAATCTACAAACCCGACGGGTGATTTCATTAAACACGTATTTCTAAGATCATTATTCCACCGCGGACCTTGACGATTGTGAACGCTCGGATAGAGTAGAGCCGATGGAATCATAGTACTAAAGTTCATTTTTTTAACATACTGTCACGAAGAAGCTGGCCTCTTATGTAATGTCGATCTATGACTTTTTGCATTTGTACATTCGAAGAGAAAACCGTATATACTGAATAGCCACAGTCTGGACAAACGGCACGTATCATTATGATTATCTTCGCCCACTAAACGAAGAGACACGAAGGTGGTCTAGGTTCGAATCTGGCCGTAATCAGACTTTGATCCACGAGTAAAAATCCAAGCAAAAAATAAGCGCGATCAATGTAATGATCCCTTTTTTAGTTTGGTCCTCCTAGATAGCCCCGATCGAGCCTTTTTTTTACTGTGGTAGGTTCTCGACGAAATGCTTGATACCGCTAACGAGGGCTTTCGTAGCCGATAGTCAGCTAAAGAAAGTTTTTAAACCTGTTTTACACCTCACATATAGATGGTAAGTCTAGTAAAATAGCTTCAACATATTGAACATTGCACAAAAAGTCGCAGCTTTAAGTATTTAAATTCCCTCAGAGGTAGCAGATCACCTCTATTCATGGGGTAAACAAGCGCACGGTTACTCCATCTCGGTCAAGCGATAATTTTTTTTGCTACGCAATACTGTGCTTTAGCTTGGGTCACTCAACCTCTCGATGCGGGTTTTTGCCCTGTCGCACCCTAGTTCGACCCGCTCCAGCATATATCGTGTTTGGCGCGTGTAGCATGATTTGAGGCCGATGGGGGTCAATCGACCGCGTTTGGCTGAGCAGAAGTATGCCGTAGCGAAGCTTTTATTATCAGGTCGCAGGCACGAGCATACGAGCACGAGGCATAGGCGCAAGGTGTCCTGGTCGGATATCCATACATTTCGATAACGTGGAAACGAGCGAAACTCATCTCTTTCCTACTCGGTCCCCCGCTTCTTTTCCGTCCGTGCTCCGACTGAACGTACGCCTCCGAACACGACGTGGTAAAGCTAGCTGAAAAGCTCAATTCTTTCTGTTCCACGGCCGCCATGTTAGTCGTTCTTCTTTTCTGTCGCTCCCTTTTATGTTTAACACTGTATATTTCTCCTTTCGTGCTCTTCTGTCTATATCCAAGGCCATCATCTAGCGCCATTAATGCTGGCGCTGTCGTGCACACCATTGGCACCGGTTAACACGATCGAATGTAGTGGATGGATTCGTACAATATCACGCGGTCCAATATAATGATAAAGTTTGAATTGAGCGAGTCAGTATAACATGTGCAATTAGTGCTTCTAGGATTCGTTAGTTGCGTATCAGATCTGTGACACGGAGCAAACTAGACCATTAGAAATTAGATATCCCTCAAAAGCCAATCTGCGTACTTTTCACTAGGCTTCAATGTTGGCATCATGGCAATGTTAGAGGCAGATGTGGACCTTTAAAAGAGTGAAGAAAATCCACGTTTCTTCTATTTTTGCTTCAAGTATCAATTAGAAGTAGTCGCTGTTACTGAGGTGTGAACAATGTATTTTGTTAAGTGATCTTCACAGCACGCAACGGCTAAGCTGTTCTTAAAGCCGTCGAAAACCTGTTGAAAGCATTGCAACTTTTTTTTGAAGGGTAATATTTTACAGCTGAGAAAACTGCAAGCAATATCCGCATTGAAATAATAATTACAATAGCAAGGATACGTAAGCTTAATTAGCAAATTCGCAGATACAAGACGGCATTGATTCACATGTGTCGTGTGACACCGATCACCTCAAGTCCTCGGCGTCGGCTTTTGGTGGACGAGGTATCCAGGAAGCCAATGAGCTCCACGTAGCTCAAACCAAAGAGTTTTGCTTTCGTAGCCGAAAACTCAGTCATAGGAGGTATCTTGACGAATGAAGTTTTCTAAGAAACTCTGTCTTCTACGGTGAAGTCTGAAGGCAAAGTTGGTTACTCCCATACTTAGCTTTTACTACAGTAATACACTTTTTATGTTCAGTTGACAAAAAGACTACGATGTGCTTGAAGATAATAATACAAAGACGACGACTATGATAGTTATGTTCGTCTACTTAGATTAGTAAAACAATAGAATTAGTTTACGAGTAAGAAAATACATAGCATCTATTTATACTCCTATATGTTTATTGTCTTTGTTTCCGACCGTGTGTGCATATATATATGTGTACATATAGGCATAGAAAGGTGCTTGCGATTTTTAGAGCATATGCATATATCTAAACAATGATTGCTCACTTCTTCATATTATAGCGAAGAAGAACACTTCTTGAAGATAATGACCATAGACTAGGCGAAGAAACGTAAAATCTTGCATTGTATTCTGGGTAGGACTGCTGATGTACGCGTAACTCGGTTATATATCTCGCTTATCGGTTATTGTTTAGAAGTACGACTTATGACAAATAGTAGCACCCAACCAAAGAAAAAAAAAGGTATAATGAGAAATAAAATCGAATAGCGAACAACTA